TCAATCAATCAATCAATCAATCAATCAATCTTCTGGACATTGTTGGTAATCCTGAATGAGAAAAAGCTGTGAATCTTAACTCTCTTTTCCTCATGTGAGTTGAACTAGCCCAATGTTATGCACAGACAACTTGAGCTGAACATTGGCCTGTCAGTGTCTATTGCTTGTTTCCAGTGGCAATGTCTCAAACCAGCAAAGGCTTTCTAGAAGCAAAAGCAGCCACAGGCAATGTTAGTGACCATGCCAGCAATGAGAAAGTAATGAATAAAAAAGTTATGCACTTGCCAAGGTGTTGCTTTTTTCCCAAGAAAAGCTTTTGGTGAAATAGCTACAGAAGCCAAGAACTGGCCTTCATCCACAGAGGAAAAGAAGACTTGGAACCATAGGGAGGAAAAGATCCATGGATGCCCAGATCAAGGGAAGAGTCCAAATAGAAAAAAATCAGAATGGGGAGAAGCTTAGCAGATCAATTGAGCAGAACATAAGTGAACTCAGGGAAAACTAGTCTAAGCTATTGATCTGTTGTAATGCTGTATATTCCATCATTTATCTGTAGAAACCGAGGCGGTATACATGGTTTGTCTGTTACCAATTTTGTCATGAAAGCAACTCTATGAGACAGCTTAGAGAGGCATTTTATTTATTTGATTATTTATTGGAAATTTTTATTATTGACTATTTCCCCCAAGACTAGGACCCGTTGTCACCCTAAAATCATGAAATGCTACACTATTGTGAACTTGGAAACCTATAATCACTTCAGGACTTACTGACACCCACTCCTTGCTTACACATTGTCACATAAACATGTTCATTCTAATATAAACAAGTTCATAAAAACATCAGAAATGAAATTGTTCAGTGACCTTGCTCACCGGATGGCTGGCTAATTGTTTTGGAATGCCTATTGTAAACTATTATTCAAGCCTCCATTTTAAAAACATTTTCATTTTCGGGGCTATTTTTTCCGTATCCCCCTTAATTATTTTAACACTCTATACACACAGTTTCAAACTATGACAGTCCACTGAAAAAACACGATGTGACTTTTTTTGTGTCCCAATATATTCCGTTGACCGGAATGTTTAAACCGTTCCCAAAGGGCAAAAAACAAACAAACAAATAAAACTTGCCGGGATAGCTCAGTAAGTCAGAACAACAAGCTGTAGAGCCAGGAGTCAGAAGTTTGATTTCCCAATGTCCTTCATAGGAAAAGAGCCAGTTTATATGGCCTTGAACAAGCTAGACAATCCCAGATTGTGATACCCTCACCAGTAGGGATTGGTAAACCACTTGTGAATCCTCTATACCTAGAGAATTCTGGAAAGAGTTGCCATCAAGCTAAAATAGGCTTGATGGCACATCATTATTAATTAAGGACAACATGCAACAGTATTGTCTCCAACCCTGTTTTGGTTAGGTTTTATCTGCTAAAAAAATTCATGGAAAATAACTGAAACTTGTGGGCACGGGTTACAACTCTTTATGGTGAAAATGCCGTATATGCCAATAAAGGTTTATTATTATTGATAGAATCTTATTATTATTATTGATAGAAAATGCCGTAGAAATCCTTCTTTGTAGCCCTTGTTCCATCAAGAACTGTGACAAAGGATCTCTCTGGGGGTCTCAAATGTGCATTTGGATTAAGTCATTGCAATCTCATTGCTTCGTTGCCATGCTTCACTATGTTGGACACCATATCCATATCTTTTCTTGTGCAGAGCATGGTGATGGATATCCTTTTGATGGCAAGGATGGTCTCCTAGCTCACGCCTTTGCACCTGGTCCAGGGGTTGGAGGTGACTCCCATTTTGACGATGACGAGCTTTGGACGTTGGGTGAAGGACAGGGTATGCAAACTCTTGCTTTCTTCAGAACATAAACTCAAGTATTATCAGTTTTGTCACTTGTTTTTGGTGTGTTTCCCCCCCCCCCGAAGCTCACAGAAATTTTGGCTAATAAACTCAAGTATTATCAGTTTTGTCACTAGTTTTTGGTGTGTTTTTCCCCCCGAAGCTCACAGTAATTTTGGCTGTCCAGAATCTGGGACCTAGCAGCTCCTAATACATAAGAGCTTTCATAAAGCTTACACAAATTAATTTTTTTGGACTTCAGATCCCACATATCTCATTGTACCAGTTGGACAATTCTGAGAACTGAAGTCCAAAAAGAGTAATTTGTCCAAAATATTATCTGCCCTGACTGTTAGCAGCTCTGCAAGCTATCAGGCAAACAGCTTTCTTAGATTTGCAACAACTCATTATTTAATTGTATTAGGCAAAATTCAAAGAACCAAACTTTAAAAAAAAAGACAAAAACAGGTGGCATCTTTAAGACTATTATAATTTAATGTAAGTTTTCATGGACATGTCCACTTTGTCAGACATATGGAAACAGAATGAAATGTAGAATGAAATGTCAGTTTCACAAGCAGAACAGTCTAAAAATTCATTGACTCTTGAGTAATCGTACATCTACATTCAGTAATTTATGGTTTATGTGTTTTAAGATACTGTTGTAAACGTTCCTCCAGAAGACAGAAAACAGACACTGGGCCTGAGCAAAGATGAGCTGGTAGAGAGAAGAGAGAGAAGGGGGTGGGAGTTTGGGAACTGGGGATTTAGTTAAAACACAAGAGGGGAAAACAGAATATATATAAGAAAATGGCAGAGGAATCACATTTGTTAATGTAGGGAAATTGACAGTTTTTAATTTTGAGCCTTGTGATGAGAGATGCGCTTGGTAGTTATGAAAAAAATAACAGTGGCAGTAGATGATAACAGAAGTATTACGTTTAGCAATGACTTAAGAAACCTAGGTTTATATTCAGTTCATTTATATGCGTGTCCGTTATGTGTATACATTTTATCTCGGCTGTTTCCCTCTGTACTCTTGATGTAGAATTATTATGTTCTAAAATAGTGACTTTAATTATTTAACTGGTAATTCTAGAGGGTAAAGAGTAGATATTTATGCATGCTGGGGATGTGCTGGAGCCCTCAGCCATGAACCATGTTAAGAAACTGCCACCAGATATTGTAACTGATAAAAATAGACCACTGCTGGCTGTTGTTAGCTCAGTCAAAGAGGAGTCCGATCCAATTGCTAGTTTTAAATAAAGTAGACCCACTGAACCGACAGTAAATCAATACATAGGTAAATCCCATGGATTCAATGAGTCCACTTTAGTAGGAATGAGTAATTGGATGGAGTCTCGTGATTCCTTAACTTACTATATGTATTTCTAGAAGAATTTCTTCTTGTTCAACTTCTGGGCCAATTCTGCTTCCAATCAAGGTGTTGTAATAAGTTCTAGTTTCCAAAATCTGCAGAAGAAGTTCATATGGCTGTTGTAGCTGCCGCTGATGGATTCTCTGTCCTTTCATTTCAAGTTGTTAGGGTGAAATACGGCAACGCAGACGGAGAATTTTGCAAATTCCCATTCCTATTCAATGACAAAGAGTATAACAGCTGCACTGATGCAGGACGCAGTGATGGATTTCTTTGGTGTTCGACAACATACAACTTTGACACAGATGGGAAGTACGGCTTCTGTCCCCATGAATGTAAGTTGACTGCCAAACAATGGGAATGCCAACTTTTAGAAGTTCACATTTGTTGTGTTGTGGCTTCTGTTCGTGTCACAAGTATGGCCACCCTAGTTTCTCCCGATGTTTGCTGGCCCAATGCAGGGATTACAATGTGGCACATTACATATATTGATTAAATCACTTGCTTTCAACATTTCATCAGTGATATAAATAGCTGGTTTGAGCATGACATGTTGGGAGCTCATTTCCTGATATGTGTCGCAGCTTGAATTATGGAAGGAAAAGCCCTTTAATCTCACCCCCCAGAATTAATTAATCAAACAAACAAATTTGTTCCAGGTGTGTAGTATGCTATTTTTTCTAGAGGCTGGTGGCCCCTGTTGCAGATGGTGAACTTAATCCAAAGTTTAGATGTGCAATTTAGGTTTCATTTGGAATGTTAAAAGAACTATCCAAGGTGCTGAACTGGTTTCGGGGATTGGATTCAATTCCTTCGATGGCACGGCATCTGTAAAGTTTGGGTTAAAATCCAGAGAAGAGTCTCTCCCCATATAAAGTTGAAGGTAGGGGTAGGGTTTTGGCTAGCAAAAGGGTTAGATATACTTATCTTGTACTTCCTGGATGATCCGAGATTTCCAGTGACTTCCCTGTGAAAGGGATCTACATACTGACAACCAGAGTATGAAATTCTTATTTTTGTCATCACGGTTTACTCAAAAGGAGCATGGGACTCCCCCCCTCTCTTTTTTTGAGTAATTTATTACAATGGCTGAGACTATAGATGGGCACTTACCATGCTTCAGATGCTTCAGTGGCTCAGTGGATCAGGCCCACAGGTGTTGCGTGGGTGCCCCAGATTCTGTGCCTCGCCCCCTCTCAGGGGCATCCGCTCAGAGGAAGAGGCAGGACAAGGAAGCCTGCAGTGCTGGTTCTAATGGGGCACCCATGGGAGGTGGTGGGGCATGGAATATGGGCCCCTCCGCAACACCTGTGGACCCAATCTGCTGAACCACCAAACCATGGTAAGTGCCCAGCTATATAGAGGAACTGCCCCAAATGGCAACAAGCAACAGTATTGTTACAACAGTTTTTGACTGTTTTAAAAGGTGGGGTGGGGGATGAAAGAAAAACAACCCAACACATAGCTGGTTGCTAAAATATAAGGACATTGTTCACAACTCTTCGATCTCACAAGTCATTGAATGTTCACACTAGATTGAGTTCCACCTGGATTCTGCAATTAAATATGACTAGGGCTGGGGTGGGCAATTAATTTCTATAGGGGCCCACATGAAAAATCTGAACTGTGTTTGGGGGGCCGAACCAACTTTACTTAAAAATAGGCCCCCATTAGGTGGGTAGTAATAGGCCCCCAATTTGTGGGTAGTAATAGGCCCCATTGGGTGGGGTCCTGCGGTGAATGAACTACAATGCTGACATAATTAACTGGGGGGAAAAACTGGCACTGAGCTATTTCACTTGTCCTCCGGTCCTCCGCAGCCTTCCTCTCCCACTGTCTTTTATCCCATGCAGGCGACATGATGCATCATCACGTCACCTGCGGAAGGATCACTTCCAGACTCTTGAGCCACAGGCTCTGCAGCCTGTGTTCAATAGTAAAAGTCAAAACTCGCGAGATCCCAGAGAGTTTTGCTTACTGCCATGCTGGGTGACCAGAGCCGGAGGTCTGGCTCTCTCAGTGGTGACGGGCAGGCCAGACAGGAGTGGTGACGGGTGGGCTGGATTGGAGCAATGACCGATGGGCCAGACAGGAGCTACTCATGGGCTGTATGTGGCCTGCAGGCCACACTTTGCCCAGGTCTGGACTAGGGGGGAAAAAGTCTCACCCTGGTATATGGGGTGAAGAAAACCTACAAACCTCCACCCTCTGTTTAGAGATCTCAAGAACTTACCTTAGTCTACCTTTGGAAATGAACCGATCTGAGTCATACTTCTCAAATTAAAGTGTGGGCCTCTACTTTGCTGTCCTTCCAATTTCTGCAGTTCGCGGAACGTTGCGATGGTTTTCTGCCTTTAAAAATGTGCCAACATACACAGAATGCTGTGCTCTTTGCCGTTAAATGTACATACAATGTATACATTGCTATAATGTAATTTTGAAATAGACAGAATTGCACATTAAAGATGAAATTGGATGGAATGGATTTCTGAATGACCACAAGCACAACAGGACACGGAAAGATGTGGTGTTCCACAACAAGCAGCTATGATGAAGATCGCAAGTGGGGATTTTGTCCGGACCAAGGTAGGGATACCGCTCAAACCATATTTATCGCAGTCTTCCAGGTTTAGACTACAACCAGCTGACTGCCACATGATGACAAAGGAATCACCATTTTTCTCTATCCTCTTGTGAACCTCTGTAGACATTGATATAATTTCTCACATAAAGGCTCGATCAGGACATGATGTCATGCACCCAACTCTACATGAATCCGAGCAAAGACCCTGGCTCCTTCATGAGGTTTGGTCCTCATACCCAGCCAGGAGAAGAAATAAACCATGGTTCAGTCTCACTTCAGCTGATCCCTGGGTTGTCCTTTTATACCGTTGCAGAATCATGATACAAACCAGAAATGTTTTGTGTCATTTCAAATTTCCAGGGGTAGGGAGTAAAATTTGTCTCTAGAAATGGGAAATCACCACTTCCAGAATTCTCAAGGAATGGTATTTCTTCCCTCAAGGCAGACACAAAGTCATGGGGTGAGTGGGTGGGGGTGAGCATGCTGTGGGAGGAAACATATTTCCTGTATCTTTAATATAAATTTAAATAATTTTATTTTTTAAAAAAAAACTAGAAGTGAACTTACAGGCACTTTCAGTTGGGAGAAAACAATTGTATCTTATTGGGCAAAAGTTGAGTTCCAGAGCACTAAAAATCCCCTTTACTTGGTTTAAAATAGGCTCCAATCAAGGGCTAAGCAAGCCAATGGAATTAGTTTGCTGATGTATTTACTTGATTCGAAACTGTTGGGCCCCACCTGATTCCGAAGCATTGGATGGGTTGTTCCTGACTTCCCTATCAATCAGCCAGTCCTTTCTTGCTTGTTCTGTGCCTATATGCTTTCCTTCTCAAAGGGAAAGGATGCTTACAGTTCACACAACTTGCAGAGACCCTGAAGCAGGGTGAAATAAAACTTTTTCTTGGTCTCAACAGGGAGCAAAGGATCCCATAAGGTTTTAAACTTAAAATCTCATCAAGGTGTCTTTTCACATCAAGATAGTTGGAATCAGTCACAATCAGGGATTTAGTGGATATTGTTTTCATTCCTACTGACACACAGGATGTTCAATCATCATTATTATATATCACCAGCCGTAAAACCTGACTTGTTTCCTTCCAGGCTACAGCCTTTTCTTGGTTGCCGCTCATGAATTTGGCCATGCCATGGGACTAGAACACTCTGAAGATCCTGGTGCACTCATGGCCCCCATTTATACCTATACCAAGCATTTCCGGCTTTCACAGGATGACATTAAAGGAATTCAAGAACTTTATGGTAATGTTTCCATTTGGCCGACTCCCCTTTGATAACACAACCAGACCACCTTCTTCTCTATCTCAATATAATATTCTCAGACACTCGTTATCAGTTCCTGGGAGACACAATAGCATTCTTCAAATATCTGAAAGGTAGTCATGCAGAGGAGAAGCAGGATTTGATCTCAATCACCCCAGAGTGCAGGACATATAAGAATGGGCTGAGGCTACAGGAATCCAGATCTAGGCTAAATATCAGGAAAAACTTCTTAACTGTTAGAGCAGTACGACAATGGAACCAATGACCTCAGGAGGTACTCTAACACTGGAGGCATTCAAGAGAAAATTTGACAACCATCTGTCAGATTTACTTTGATTTGGATTCCTGCTTTGAGCAGGGGGTCAGACTCGATGGCCTTCTTAGGCCCCTTCCAACTCCCTTATTCTTTTATTCTAAATCTGAGGACCAAGGATGCTGCTCCTCTTGATAAGCCTCAATTTTTGATAGCAAGCCCATGTCACAAAGTTCTTTGATTGTGATATTTCTCTTCATTTACAGGGGGCTCTACTGATGTTGGGCCAGGACCCAGTCCAACACTTGGTCCTGTTACTCCTGAACTTTGCGGCCAAGACATTGTGTTTGATGCCATCGCTCAACTCAGAGGAGAGATCTTCTTCTTCAAAGACAGGTGAGGAGGAGACATGGGTTTGCCTTGTAAAATTATTGGGTGGTCAAAGAGAAGTGGGATTTGAGGGGGGTTGTGATCAGGTGGTGTTCAAGAGCCTGCTTATGCATTCAAACATGTCTGAATGATGGCTTTTAGACTTTATTCTGGACAACTCCAGAAGCACTCACCCACCTTAAGCTCTTCATATGTTCCACAATGAGAAGATCACCAATGTTAGGAAAGATTCGGAAGAGGACCGCTTCTCCATCACAGTAGACAAATGTATAGCTTCATGGAAATGTTGGATGTGCTCGAAGGTAGTGATTCTCCAGCTCAAGTCGTTGGGATGGTTTGGACTTCAGTTCCCCAAAATCTCCACCAGCATGGTCAAGAGCACCAGAAACTGTCTCTATGTTTTATGGGAAGGAAGCAAAATGTTATGATTTCTTGTTCTTGTGGGTGAGAACGAGTGAATTAAGATTTACATTCCTGGTCCTCTTGACTTGTGGTGGGCATGACATCCACTTCAAATTGTGGATTTCTGGGTTGCTGTTTTTCAATGATGCCTGGTTTACAATTTTAGGCTCCTGACTTCCAACAGCAGTACTGGCACTTGGAAAGCAAATAACCTGGTCCTTCTCGAGTTCCCATCCCCTTTTCTTTTCTGCATAGATTGGTTGTGTTTTGCAACCACAATAGATGTTAAAACAATTGTCTTTAATCTTGCTCAAGAAGGAAAAACACAACTCTAGTGACATCAATCTGGCAGCACACAAAACTTCAGCACTGCTTGCGCTGTTCCAGACTTAGAAAAATACCTTTTTAAGACAGACAGATTTGTTCCAACAGTTTTGGAAACTGTCCCAGTTCTGTGGTGTGGAGAAACATGAGAGACTTGGACATTTTGACTGAAATCAAATATCCCAGGCATCCTGGCATTCTTAGGAAGAGAAACTTCCAAGTTCCAAGACGTTTAATTGTCCATGGTGCCCGAGTGTATGGCTTGGAATCCCTCCCCTGTTGAGTTGAGTTTTCAGCTAGAGTTTCTTGAATTTTCCTGACAATACAAGAGCCTCTGGGCTGTCGAAACAAGTCATGGCACACGCCCACAGAACAAAAATCCCTACATGCAAATTCAGGACCATCTACTAAGATCTAAATCTGGCCTGAAGTCCCACACAGAGAAGACCCGTTGAATCAATGGATCTTGTGTAAGTGTTAATGCAATGAATTCCCATAGACTGCATGTGTCTCTTCTAGTTTGGACTAACAATCAAAAGGAGCCCAAAGGCTGATTTAAATTTCACAGAAGGTAGGCAATTGATTTTCAATCCAAATTAATTGTATGTTGAGGGACGACAGATGTGCAGACTAGGATAGCTATCAGTCCCCTTTTAGGTAGGTGGCGCTGCGGAGGGACGTGGTGGCGCTGCGGGCTAAACCGCAGAAGCCTGTGCTGCAGGGTCAGAAGACCAAGCAGTCGTAAGATCGAATCCACACGACGGAGTGAGCGCCCGTCACTTTGTCCCAGCTCCCGCCAACCTAGCGGTTCAAAAGCATGTACATGCAAGTAGATAAATAGGGACCACCTTGGTGGGAAGGTAACAGCATTCCGTGTCTAAGTCGCACTGGCCATGTGACCACGGAAGATTGTCTTTGGACAAACGCTGGCTCTATGGCTTAGAAATGGGGATGAGCACCGCCCCCTAGACTCAAACACGACTGGACAAAAATTGTCAAGGGGAACCTTTACCTTTACCTAATCTCCTCTTTGAAGAGCTGAAATCCCCCTGGAAACCAGCCCCTCATATATGCACGCACACACACATTTGTATACTGTATATATTTGGTGTTGCTATGGGATGTCAGGTCAAGTTGCTCCTGACTTATGCGACCTTATAGATTAATGACTGCCAGAAAGTCCTAACATTAGCAGTTCTACTCAGGTCTTGCAAGCTATATGTGGTGGCTTCCTTAACTACATCAATCCCATGTTAGATTTTCCTCTTTTCCTATTGCCTTCTACTTTGCTCAGCATTATTTCCTTTTCCATAAGTCTTGTATTTCCATGAGATACCCAAAGTATAATAGCCTCAAATTAATCTATTTAGCTTCTTGATTTGATATGGAACCCATTTATTTGCTATAAATAAATATGTGGTGGGTCTCCTTGATTACTACTTTCCTTACATATGTTCGCACTGTCTTTAAGGGTTCAAACCTTTCTCAAGGTCTTTCCTATGTCTAGCAAATGAGAGAGCTCTGAACCCTAAAAGTTAGTGTAAATATATCTGAAAAAAAATAGGGTGGGGAGGGGAGAGATTAATTTATTTTGTATAAACTATGGGAGGGTGGCTTCTGTCCTGAAGCTTATCCAACACGTAAGTCATTTCATTGTGTGGAAACAATGAGTGCCATGGGATAGAATATGTCTTTAGTCACTGAAAATCTCTACCACTCGATGATATTAACAGCAAAGGGAAATTTTCACTAATTAAAGACCTCCTCCTTCTGTCCCATGGCTTCCATAGTATCCATGCAATACACTTCAATACTCATAAGCCATGGGACAAATGGAAGAATTCTTTACCAAAAATTACCAAAAATTTCACCTGCCAATGATATCATCAGTCTTCCACAGGCATAATTTAACACAAAAGGATTTGGGCTAATAAATGCAAAGTAAATAGCCACATGCTTATCAGGATCACAAAGGTGGATCTTATTACATGGACTCTTCAGCAACCTGGTCAACCTGCAATCCATGGGGAGACTGCAGAGTCTTGGCCTTTGCCAGTGCCATAACTCTAGGAATGCAGCTATTGTAGCCATATTTGCCAGCAACTGATGTGTACCAAGGGATCGCACTTTATGTGTAATGCAGTGGGAATGCCCAGTGAGACCAATTTCTAATGACGGGGTCTAATAGTGTCCTTTCCAAGCTCCAACTCCCATTTCACCAAATACAAAGTTGGTTAATGCAGGTGAAAATGCAAGCATGCAATTCACAAAACATGGACCAAATGACAATCTCATTTTATTACAGTAGTGCCCTGCATGGCGACGATAATCCGTTCCATAGAAATCGCTATTCAGCGAAATCATCTTCATGCAAAATCCGTTTCCCCATTGGAATGCATTGAAACCTGTTTAATGTGTTCCAATGGGAAAAATAACTCATCGTCCAGCAAAGATCACCCATAGGGAAGCCATTTTGTGAGCACCAATCAGCTGTAAAAATGGCTGTCCTGCGAAGCATCGTTCCCCAAAACACAGGGAAGCCATTTTGCGGAGCCACCGATCAGCTGTAAAAATCGTCTTGCGAACAAACGGTTCGCGAAGCATGGACCGAATCATCGTCCAGCAAAAATCCCCTTTTGAAATGACTGTTTTGTGAATTGCTATAGGAATTGGAAAACCTCCCGTCATGCAGATTCGTCGTTTTACGAGGTAGTCATCTAGCGAGGTACTGCTGTACAAGGGATTCCACTAACTTGGAATCCAACTGTGAAAGCTTTTAATCCCCTTTTACCTTTGAATAAAATGCATGTCACAACGGGGTGGGCAGGAGAAGAAAAGAAACCTGTCAATGTGCTTTTGTTACCCGGCTATTCCTTCCTGTTCTAAACACCGCTACCAAAATCACACACCAATTCCTTTTTTTGTTGGACTTATTTGATGCCCATAAACCAGAGGCAGATACCAGTTATACATAAAACAGTGAGAAAATTACCGTCCTTTATTTCCTCTGATGAGCAGTTTCAGCTCTCCAGGATTCTTGTACAGCCAAGCTGTTTGATAGATGATTATTAGATTTGATCTTTTATTCGTTGCGACACTCCTAACGGTCCAGGGCGAACGTGCCCAATACAAATGTTGTCATTTGCCAAATCTCTATCCATCTGTTCCACGAGCAGCTACAGGGAGGGTGGAGTGAGTTTTAAGTGCCTTGTAAATGGGTTTATTTGCTGGGATAACTGAAGCGCCAAATACATTTTTTTCCTTGCCACAGTAAGGATTAATATGAGTATTAGAGGAGTTGTTATAAACACTAAACGGCTGTGCCTAGGAGATGAAGGGGGTCTGTTGGACAGAAATGTCATTGAAAGCAAAACATGACTTCCAATCATTGATTCATTTTATTTTTTAAAAATGTATATACCCTGGTAATTATATGTTTATATTGCTGAGGGCTAGGGTGTGTGTGTGTCTGTGAGTGTGTGTCTACAGCAAAACACACGGGCGCACACAGAGATGCACTTTTGCCAACGGTGATGAGAAACAGATGTGACCATGAATCAGCTCTTTGTAAAGTCTCAGTGATTTTTTTTTTCTGCTTAGATTCATCTGGAGGACAGCAAACCAACGGAACAGGCCAATGGGTCCTTTGCTGGTGGCTACCTTTTGGTCTGAGCTGCCGGAAAAAATTGATGCCGTCTACGAGGCCCCTCAGGAAGAGAAGGCGGTCTTTTTTTCAGGTAGAGTCAGCCTTAAGGTGTAAACTTAAGTGGCTTTATCAGCCCATTTTGGTCTCCTTTGCTTTTCTCTCTTGAGGAATGAATCTGTGTTGTTTTTACCGTTATGTGCTACCATGTCACCTCTGATTAATGGCAACCCTATGGATGGACCACTTCCAAAGTGTCTTGTCCTCAGTAAGGCTGCTCAGCCCTTGCAAACGCAAGCCTGTGGCTTCCTTTAGGGAGAAAGTCCATCTCGTATTTGGTCTTACTCTTTTCCTTCTGCCTGCCACCTTTCCTACCCTTATTGTCTTTTCCAGAAAATCCTGCCTTCTCATGACGTGCCCAAAGTAAGACAGACTCAACTTCAACCTTTTTTTTTTGCCTCCAAAGACAGTTCAGTCTTGATGTGATCTAAGATCTACTTGTTTGTCTTTCTGCTCCAGCACCACCAATTTTTTCCCTGTCAGCTTTCTTAACTGTCCAACTTTCATATTCGTACATGGTATTCAGAAATACAAGACTGTGGATAATCTTGATCTCAGTCTACACATGTGTGACACATCCTTACACATTAGGATCTTTTCTAATTCTTCTGTTGCTGCCCATCCTAGTCTCAATCTTCTTTTGATTTCTTGGCTGCAGTCTCTACATATTTCAACTGATGATTTAACCACGGTATGCAAAATCTCCAACTATTAGCATATTGCAGAATATACATACAATATTCATCCAGGTTTACAAACAAAATTCAAATCATGATTCATACCAAATGGGGTATGTTATAAAGCCAAAAACTGGCCATCAGGTCACAATGGAACTGCATAATGTTGTTGCTGCTGCTGCTGTTGTGTCACATTAATCCCCCCCCATTTGCAGTGACCCTATGAATGAATGACCTTCAAAATCTCTGTGATTAATATCCCTGCTCATATCTTGCAATCTGAAGCCTGTGGTTTCTTTAAATAGTCAATCCATCTCATGTTTGATCTCCCTGTTTTCCTGCTGCCTTCAAATCCATGCCTAGGTCCAATGGTTTAAATAGCTAAGCTGGAAAAAGAAAAATTAACTATTATTATTTGCTGCAATATGACTAAACTTCTCAAGTCGTTATTTACAGATAGGTACAAATCAGAAAAATTGTGATTCATTTAGATTCGATTTGTCAAGGTCAACAAATCATGTATTATGAATTTACATTTTTTTCTGATGAATCGACAAATCAATTCATCAATTCATTTTTACTTTAAATCTCTGTCAAACAGCCCCTCAAGCATCTAGAGACACCAAAGTCACAGAGAAGCTTCTCATGACTCTCATCTACAAGCTCTGCAAGTTTGGTGAAGATTGGGTTTCAATTTCTGAGTTATATACCCACAAATTGGGTCCTCCCCCAGGAAAGTGCCCTTAAGCAGTTGTCTTGGGAAAACCCAATCTTCACCAAACTTGGAGAGATGATGAATGGTAGCTTTCCTGAAATTGTGGTGTTTTTAAGTGCCCAGGGGACCATTTTATAGCCAAACAAATCAACAAATCAAAACTTGCTAAAAATGTGTCAATTCATATTCGTTGGGGGCATTGATTCGTATGACCATGAATCAACGAATCCGTGATTTTGTGAATGAATTTGGTGATTCGTTTTTAAATCCATGCCCATCTCTAATTATAATATATAATGAGAGTTGTAATAGATTGGTGAAATGTTAATGGACAATTTCTTTAAAGGGAAGGGGAAAGTCCAATAATGAATTCCGCATGGTGGAATATGAGCTAAGTTTGGATTACATGATAAATTGGATGCAGCCAAAAGACTTTTTCTGCGTCCAGACTTTACATCCTCCTCTATCCCTTGGGACAGTTGGACGAAGAAGGGTTTAAATACTGCTTGCTGAAGGAATCCAATTAGTTCAGTGTAAGAAATAAAAATCCCGAACAATGCAAATTGGCACATTGCTGAAAGATGGAGAAGCAAAGCTGAGTGCTTTCAATACTGTTAAATGAAAACCACCCACAATTTCAGTCTCAAGTGATTTAGGATCACACTTCCAAAGAAGGGGGGGAAAAAACAGAAGGTTGTCAAAATAATACTCAGATTTTTTAAAATAAAATTTTTGCATGTCCTAGCCAGCCACCTGGCCATATACAAGGAAGTCGGGGGCTCAAATTTCTCGAGAAAGCTTGTTGTCACAAAAGGAATCCCAAACCTAACTGGTGAAATGGTGGATCAGAAATTGCTCAAGTGTGTCCCTCCCTTCTGTTTGGCCAACTGGTCCTCTGTGATTAGTAGTACATTTGGAGGTACACATGACAATGTCCACCATTATCCTGGGTCTCAAGAAAAAGCCAAGCATGCAGGACATTGGATTGATGGATACCAAAAACTGAGATACCATTTAAGTTAATAGCTCTGAATTGCCAGTTCCTCAATTCCAGCTGAGACCAAGATGCAAAGCTCTTTTCCCCCTTCAAGGTCTCTGAAATTTGTACAAGAATTTGTTTCACTTTGGGAGGCAAAGAGTAAGCAGGATATATGATAGAGTAAGCACAAAAGGACAAAGTAGGACAGAGTAAATACAAAAGGACTGGTTGACAGTAAAGAAAGATTCAAATAACCCATTCTATGCTTTAAATATTTATACAAGGTGAAACTTATCCTTGTTAGGGTATTTGTACAATTTTACAAATACAGTAAACAAATAAATGTAATTCTTGTGCAGAACATCATTTTCACCAATATAAGAACCCTACTGTGAATACCAAGCAATTCTACACCATGTTTGTTTCCTCTTTTCTCATACTGTATATGGTTGAGACAAACAAAGATGCACATCCCTATAATAGCGCTACCAAAACAAGGTGAAAAATAGTGCCATGAATCTTCTCCCTCGGTTTCTTCTTCCTTGTCTCACATGCACACATACACCCTACCTTTCAACTGGGAGAGTTCTTATATGAATTGCCATCTCTATCCTATATTATTCCTCCTTTAGCTGAACCATTATGAACTTTGAATATCTCTGACTGAAGTTACCATTCCATTTATTCACATCTGTAAGTCAGTTGATTATAACTTGTTGCTTCCTTTTTAAGGAAATGAATACTGGGTCTATTCAGCCAGTACTTTGGAAAGAGGTTATCCAAAGAAACTTACCAGTCTGGGGCTGCCCCCTGATGTACAGCGCGTGAATGCAGCTTTTAACTGGAGCAAAAACAGGAAGACCTACATTTTTGCCGGGGACAAATTCTGGAGGTAAGATGAAATTTCTTTTTACCTAGTAACTGACATTTGAACTGGATAAGCCCAGCAGCTTTGCATTTAGAACAGAGGTCTCTTAACTGTTAAAAGACATCTGATTGTCAATGTATAAGCTTTTCTCACCTCCCGCAGCTTACCAAATTAGTTGACTCTGTTTTGTGATTGGTCAGTGGGAGGGAAAAACAGGCTTCTTTTGAACGTCCACCGGCATAGAAATCTGTCTTCATAGAATAGCAGAAGGAATGCTATTCTAAATATGCATTGCTTTTTTAATGGCAACGTTGTTCACTTCTTTAGTTTGAACCCAATCTTCTGGAGTTCCCTTGTTAGTTCAGCTTAGGGCTGATTTTCTGTTGAGCTGCTGTGAGAGCCACCAAATGCCTCTTCAAGGAGTGATGAGTGGAATATTAAATAGCAATTTCAAAAAAGCTACTAGTTGAGTGTTAAATCCCTCATTGCTGAATTAATGGATGTATCCCTAAGATTCTGTCCCACAAGCAATTTACCTAGAATAGCCTATTATCTTTGCTGATACTAATTCTTATATTTATGATGCCCAATCTCATTGAATAGAACCGATGGACCTAGTAGACCACTTAGCCTATTCTGACCAGATGTAATAAGCATCACATGCCAGATGAACCTTCCTCAACCAGGTGTCTTTCCGATTTATCGGACCTTGAACTTGGACAAGTAGATGTAATACAGATATATGAGTGCATCATCTTTTACAGATATAATGAAGTTAAGAAGAAGATGGATCCCGGCTTCCCAAAATTAATTGCAGATGCTTGGAATGGAGTTCCAGACAACCTCGATGCCGTTCTAGATGTGAGCGGAAGCGGTAAGGAGACATCTCATTCTTAGTGCTAGGGATTGTGGCTTTGCTACGATCGGTTGCTTCAGTCTGCTGCATGAATTTTCATTGACCTTCTTTGTGGTGGTCTCTCTGTCAGTCAATGCCTTGGCAGACCGCCGGCAGCCACTGGGACAAGCTTTCTCTGTGTCATGGAAATGCCCCATTGTTGAAAAGAAATTTAGGAAATATGACCTGTCCTGATCTTTTTCAGGGGGGCATCTAAATAACTAGTTTCCAGCGGAGGAGTCAAAACCATTTTTAGAGCAGCAGACACTGTGGTTTTGAACATGGCACTTATTGGGATTTTCATGTCCCCTTGGAGCAACGTCCTGAATGACTGAGAACTTCTGAAGGGCTCATGGGGGTTGACTGATAGAAAATCAGATCCAGTCTTTTAATTTATATCCATCTTCTCCTTTCCCAATAGAAATGTGTACTTAGAACTGGAAAAATATAGAGGAAGATCTACAGTAGCTTTAAGCTCCTAGAGAACTGGTGTGGTGTATGGATAGGGTAATGGATTAGGACTTAAGAGACTTGGGTTCAAATCCTGACTTGGCATGGAAACTCACTGGGGGATAGTAGGGGTAGATCACTCCTTGAACATTTCATATATACTGAAAAAAACCTATTATGGCTTCAATAATTCCAATGTGAGTTGGCTAACAAATAATAGTGGAAAAACAGTTGTCAGAATCTTTTAAGGCACAGTAGTTCACCAGATGTTCATGGACTAGAAATCCCAGCCTGCACAGTGGTGAAAGCTTCTAGGAGTCTTAGTTCAAGACTACCTGGGGACCCAAGTTTGAGAACCACTGCCTTAGAAGAAAGCAATGGCTGATAAAATGACTTACTTTTGTACTCCTGCAGTCTTCCCCCCACTTTCTCCTCCATGTGCAACTGGATGTCTCAGAACGGGGGAGCCTTTGGGTTAGCTAGTCAAAATAACGTGGCAGAATTACTATCCTAAGGAGCAGGATTCAACAGGCTTCCACTGTCTTCAGAAATAATTGACACTCTTCCTGATAATGCCCCGTTGCAGTGTATCTGCACTACACTGTTGTATCAGCACTATGAAACTTCATATGTCATGGTTCCAGCCTATGCTATCGTATCATCTCTAGTTCAGGGCAGATCCTTAGAATTCTGTACTGTTGTCCAGTGGGGTTCATTCAAACACTCTGGTAAAGAATTTATTTGCATCTGATCAAATGACAAATCCCATCACTCTTGAAGATGCCATCATAAACAAAATAGTAGAAAACTGCTATAACGCTGTAGCGCTGAGCACACTCTTGCTCAAAGATGTCTACATTCTATAAATGGAATGAGCCTTAATGTTTTTCTTCCCCTTTCCAGGTCACAGCTATTTCTTCAAGGACTGGTACTATCTCAAACTGGAAGACCAGAGTCTGAAGATTGTTAAAGTTGGAAATGTGAAATCCGATTGGTTGGGTTGCTAAGCAGTGTGACATCTTAGTCACCAAAGCAAAGAAACATTTATACACTTTTTTTTTTACATTTGTAAAAAGGCCTACGTCTTTCCTGCAATTAGAGATAGATTTGTATGCTTATGCGCGGTCCGGTCTGGAACTGGCACCAAGTCACCAAATACCACTACTTGACACAACTGTTTTGTTAGATTGTTTGATTCTGCACATTTACTTGGAAGTAAGTTCAATTAAATTTGTAAGATTTACCTCTAAATAAATGTATTAAGATGGGGAATACCCGACCCCAAGAGGACTTTGCATCTTCTTTTTGCTCCTTTCCCATTCATTAATTTAAAATACTTGGAACTTTTTGGCAAACACTAAAAGATATTGTTTAGGCCAGTGGTCCCCAACCTTGGGCCTCCAGATGTTCTTGGACTACAACTCCCAGAAGCTTTCACCACCACCTCTGCTGGCCAGGATTTCTGGGAGTTGAAGTCTAAGAACATCTGGAGCCCCAAGGTTGGGGACCACTGGTTTAAGCCATATTGCTTACATCAACCAAAACATGACACAATATTCAACTTGCCATGTCTATATGTTGGTGCTATTAATCTGATTTTCTAATGCAGAAGCAAGGTTCTATGGGTTTGGAGGGGAGATGAAACTCAAAGACTCCCGTATCTGTGGAATCGATATTTGTAGTTTCACTTATCTGCAAAATTAGTATTGTTTCTCTGTGTGACGCAAAATACATGGATACATACACAGAGCAGGCACAGAAAGGCTACCTGATTGATTGTATGGATGCAAGCAACCCTTTTGATACTTCTCATTTTGTAAGATCCATGCAACAAGGAAAGTACCATCATACTTTTAAGTAACTGTGGAATTTGTGCAAAAATTGTTCTGCCAGATGAATTGTCAATTCACTTCTCCTTAGCTTTCTACATTTCAGGGATATGCTTTAGCATGCTGGAACATTCATTCTTGCGATTCCCTCCCTGAAGTCTCAAGTGGCACAGTCATGGATAACCCATGTGGGGGTGACTAAAGCCAAATGCAGAGTAAATGAACACAAAGTCCCGACTATACCAGCGGTATCTGGCAAGACTAGGCAGGTTCATTTACGACTTGAAAAGAGTAAGGTAGCGAATGATGGACTAGCAGGTCCTGTTCTACATGCATGCCACAAACATCAATACACTATGGGAAACTAGCTAATCAGTGACCTTATACTTTTGCAATTTGGACAAGATTGCTGATTGGCTAGCACCCTACACCCACAACATTGACCTGCACCCCCACCAGGAACTGTTAGACTCACAGAGATGCCCCTGCATCACACAAATCACCTGGTCACTGTCTTCCCCACTATAGTTTGGTGAGATGCATTATAATTCTGTTTAAGTGACTTTTAATTTTGCATCCGTACATGCAATTTAGCAGGTGCAATTTTATGCGAACCAGTGGGATCTCTGTAGCTAATATCCAGTGGTCATTCCACCCACACAATTGATGAGATGCTTGTGGATGTCTAGCTCACTGTTCAGTTATGGAATCCAATACAGCCTCCCCTTCTAGACTCACCTACAAAGCCTGTTTGGGAATTTCTTGTCCAAGTTGTTGCATAACAACCATAAACATAATAACATTGTACACAGGCTAAACTCAGACGTCTCATATCCAATCTTCACCAAACTTGGAGGGTACGGGCAGGAGCATCAGCAGAAGACTTTATGCAAGTTTGCCATCTCTAACTCACATGGAGGACATTCTATTGCTCCTGGAAACCCAAATCGCATGGACCACAAAACGGTTCATAAGAAAGTTTGTGAAGGTTCGTGGTTTGTGGTTCACGAATAGTGACAAACTACAAACCATCACAAACCACCATTTCCCCAGTTCATGCCCTTCTCTAGTCAGAAGTGTTTTGTGGTGGTGCTGTTTAATTTCACAGAAGTCCTCTTACGGTTTAAAACTAGTGTATTTTCCCTTTATAAAGCGGAAAAGCTCAATAAGGAAAGAAAAAGATGTGATCTGAGGATGTGAAGAAATCTCTCACACTCCTTGCTCTTGACAAAACAGGTTCTCAAGAGTTGATTAACCCAGCACTTCTGGTTTATGCAAGAAGGAGATCATTTTCATACATTCCCATATTGTGCATTTTGCACAAAAGCTAATAATGGAAATATGCATTTTTTAAAAATAAGGGTGGTTACAAGAAAAAAGCAGGAGCTTCCACTGAGCAGAAATGTTTCAAAGAGTTCTCGTTTACTGCATGAGTACAAAGCCTTTCAGACATTATGTTCTTGAAACATTTATATGTATAAATTGCTGTCCATTTGGAATGATGTCAAGATCTTTGCCTCCTTCACTTTTTTAAAAAATTGGCCATTCATTATGGGAGTCGTTATTCCATTACAGAAATGCAAGGGGAAAGGACAATCATGAAGCCATCCATCCTGGTCTGAGAGGCTCACCATTGCACAGCTGGTTGTACGACTGAGTTCACACCCAGTGAGTGTAAGAATGGGCGCATAATGGAGTGCCTGCTTATGCCATTCCCTTCTGATTCACGCTGCTGTAACAGAATGCTGGCCTAGGTTTCTGATAGAGGAACTGATGCTGGCATGGAGACTCTGGATCACATCCACACAAGGAATTCCAAGCTGAATAAGTAGCTTTAGTGTAGCTTTTTCAGTGACCGCTCCAATCTCTGTCTGGGTAACCTCCAAAATGTGTAAATGCAAAACAGATGGGGAGCAAAAGTAATAATCTTAGAACTGCAGAGCTAAGAAGGGACCCTATGGATCATCAAGTCCAGCCCCTGTCAAGGAGGCCCAGTGGGGAATTGAACTCCCAACCTCTGGCTCCAGAGCCAGTTGCCTTAAACCACTCAGCTATCCAGGCCTGCACAGCCTTTCCATTCTCCTGCATTTCTCAGACTACAACTCCCGGAATTCCACCTCCAGCATAGCTACCGGGAGATTTTAGGGGTCATCGTCCAAAGAACAGTAATTTCGCTTTGGTGCAAACCACCCACCTTCCTAAAAGCTCTCTCCCCAGTAAACCAGTATGATAGAATAAAACTTCCAGGAATTATCTGACAGCTCGTGATTGTTCAGTTCCACTCCACAGGGACATTGCTGGAGGGACAGATCGGCCGTGGCTCCAGACAGTGACTAACCTGTTTGGCTTCAGAGACTACGTTGCCAGAGCCAACATCAACCACACTGTTTAAAGAGTAATTAATTTTAATGCACGTTGGCCTAGAGGCAGGCTATGTGAACAAGGAACTCTAACGTTGGAGTGTTCCTTCTTTGCAAACCAAGCACTGGGAAACCTCTCAAATCACCCCGGTAGGTATTCCTTCCAGTTTCCATGCTGCAACGAGGAAACTAAGAAAGACAACATGAACCAAGACTTGAAGCTGTTCAAGCCTGCATGAATTCTGTTAACTAGCAGTAGATTCCTTGTAGCCACAAATAAATGTATATGTCAGTTTTGCTCTCTTCTTCATTCCTATTTTTAACATCTTTCTTTCCGTTTTAAGATAGCTTGGGGGAAAATTGCTTTTTAAGACTACATCGCCCAGCATTCTCCATCCAGTATGGTTGCGGTCATCCTACCTGGGTGTCATCGTTCAAAATATGTCTTTCTTCCTTTGCTTTCTTTTTTTTCACTGTTTCCCCCCCCCCAGCATTTGTGTCAGGTGAAGCCCCCAATGCTTTGACCAGGTGTTTTTTTCAACTGGCACAACGGCAGGCCCGAGATTGTGCAAAACACGGTGTCCACAGAATCATTAGGCTCTGAGTTTGCTGAACAGGATTATGGCCAAGGTACCTCCCTCCCTAATAATAAAATAATACTCATGTGCCAAGTCAATTCTGATTTACGTTGACTCTTTCCAGGGTTTTTCAGGAAGAGATTACTCAGAAGTGGTTTACTCTTCCCTTCCTCTAGGGGGCACCCTGGGACTGTACAGCTTGCCCAAGGCCACCCAGGCTGGCTCTTCTCACAGGAGGCACCAGTGGAGAACTGAACTCCCAACCTCTGGCACCACGGCCAGATATCTAAACCTCTGAGCAAGTAGATAAAAGTTAAGAAAGACATCCCTTTTATTAGCTGTGTAGAACAATTAACTTACCTCCTCTATCTACCCAGAGTGGTGCAGTGGATAGAGTGATGGACTAGGACTCTGGAGAACAGGGTTCAAATCCCTGCTCAGGCACACAAATTGACTGGGGTTGTGGAACCAGTAAAAATATTCCTTAAATATCTCACTTGCCTCGAAAGCCTTACTAGGCTTGCTATAGTTGATTCTGACTTGACAGCACAGAACACATACATGCTACCTACTGAAGAAATAATAGTTTAGGGCAACCAATAGAGTTCAGCCTATTTTACAGTGGTGCCTTGCAAGACAAATGCCTTGCATGACAAAAAACAAAAACAAAAAAAACCTCACAAGACAAAAAACAAACAAACAAACAAACAAAAAAACTCACAAGACAAAGGGTTTTCGCAATGGGGTTGATGACTCGCAAGACAAATGTTTTTATGGCCGTGCTTCGCAAGACGAATGTTTTCCGTTTTTTGTTCCTGCCTCATGTTTTCTGATCTTTAAATTTTTTTCTATGATGTTTAAAAAGTTAAAGTTTCTGGATTGGAATTTTTTAAATCATCTGCACAATATGTATGGCTTTAAAGAGCACTTGATAAACCCTTTGTAAACCAAATTTGACTTTGTTCTTTTCTTGCCCATAGGAATGCATTAATTAGATTTCAATGCATTCCTACGGGAAAACGCGTTTCGCAAGACAAATTTTTCGCAAGACAACATTAAGGGCAGAACGAATTAAATTCATCTTGTGAGGAACCACTGTATTTTATTTTATTTATACCCCACCTTTCTCACAATTAAAAAAAAACTCACAGAGACCCAAGGATTAAAGCAACTAAAAACTGAAAGGCAGAGGTACCGAAAACAAATAAATGCATCCATCATTCAAAAGGACTACATCTAATTCCTTTCAAACAGTTAAAAGGAAACAAAGTTGTTGAGTTCTCAGCGAACTGACTTGAACGATGCATCCATCATTCAAAAGGACTACATCTCCTTTAAAACAGCTAAAAGGAAACAAAGTTGTTACGTTCTCAGCGAACTGACTTGAACAAAGAACTTTTTGTTGAATTTCAGATAGTTTGTCTGAGAAAAGGATGATTGATGACACCACTCAGGGATGAGTCAAATGTGAGGCCAGCCCTGACATTAGGCAGGGTGAGAAAAATACCTCGAACTGTAGGTAC